AAGCCTAAAAAGCTTACGTGTGCAGGCAGCCGGGTCCAACATCCGACAGGTTATCTTGAATAACAATATAACATTTATGCTTCTAACTGTTTCCAAGCTTTATTTCACGTCAGAACTTTCGAAAACAGCAACGAAAGAGTAAAATATTTTGAAAACCCATAAAAGCGCTAAAGCTTTGGGAAACCAGAAGGAAAACGGAGAAACCCACTCGAAACCTGCCAAATAGCATTGTTTCTTTTACTTTCCGCTACAAAGTTGACAAGTGCCTTTCTGGGCTGAAGCCATTTACAGTGATTATGCAGTAGACGTGTTCATTGACTTACTCAAAGCATTTGACACTGTTCCCCATTCACGCCTCTCACTGAAGTCTTATGGAATAGTTGGCCGAACTCTTCAGTGGGTGTCGGCTTTACTTGATGGACGGATAAATTGTATTCGTGTAGGAAGTAGTCTTTCCTTCGCCAGCCTGTCCTTAGCGGCCTTCCTCAGGGCTCGGTCCTGGGTACGCAGTTGTTTATAGTCTACGTGAATAACTTACCTGGAGAGCTTGGGGTATAAACGCTCTTAGTTGCTCTAAGGGGCTGGAAGACGGTTGAGGTCTCTGGAGGTCCTGCAGCTCTTCAACGGGCTCTGGATAGACTCTGGAAATGATTTGTCCTGCGGTTGCTGCCTATAAACCAGACAAAGGGACCAGTTCTGCGTATCTAAGCGCCTGATCCCTTCGCAAGGTATCTGATCAGTGAGAGTGAACGTTCGCAAGTGACGAAACAGCTTGGTATAAGCGTCGTCCAGTTGTACTCCACACACTGGAGGCAACTGGAAGAAGGCGGCTACTTAATGGCTCCGGATGTTCTGGTTTATCCGTCGTTCCTTCGGAATCCTAACACCTGATAGGTTTGTGAAGCACTTCTCAGCGTTCGTGTGACCCCACCTAGCAAATTACGTCCAGGCCAACCCACTGTGACTTGCCCGGGACAAAGTGACACTAAAAAGTGTATTACGTGTTGCCACTAGATTAATCGAGGGGTCACGAGGACCAAAGTACCCAGAACGCCTACACAGTTTGGGGGTGACTTCATTGCATTATGGAAGGATTGGAGAGGACCTCATCATAACTTACTGTATTTCGACCGCGCAGCATGACCCTGATTTCCCCGTTTTATTTTATCATCCTCATCATTATATACGTCAGCTAGAGGTGTTAACTGGAACACTGGAACAATGGTTAATGACGGGCAAAAAAGCATCGCTTAACAAGTCCCGTGGGATGGAACTTATTGCGAAAATCAATTATGTAATAAAGTGAAAGGCGTTGTGATGGATTCACCATAGACTTATGTGGAATAACGGAGATGTTCGCATATTAAACGTATAAACCCATAAATCCATTGGTTAGGCTTTTGGCAAGACACCCTTTCATTGCGTATTGTAGCCCCTGGCTAACAAGTCGTAAAATGTAAGGGAGACAATGAATCGTCAACTCGTCTTTTTAAATATCGCCAGATTGGGAGGAGAGATGACATAATTGGGGAGGGCGTTCCAAGGCTGGCACACGCGGAGCGAAAAGAAATTTCTACGGCATTCAAGCCGGCTATACAGAAATGTCAGCTTTAGCGGGTGACCGCTTAGTTTAGTATTGTGGTTCAATTCCAGCAGCGGACGGCAAATGTGGTTTGGGTTCTACAGAATCTGGTAAACTATTATGAGATCCCCCGCAAAAGCCGATGCCAACTGCTGTAGACGCTTAGAGCTTTTAGTCTAAGCTGATAGGGCAGATGAAAGAGGCCCCTGACGTTCTTGGTTGCCCTTCGTTGAGGATTCTCGAGAGCAAAGAGATCCTGTTTATGCCACGGCTGCCACGTCTGAAAGGCATATTCCACATGCGGGCGCTATCGTACGTAGTCGCTAAGCCTTTGGGGAGATATTGAAGGTTCAAACCGACCGAAGGCTCTGCGAAGAAGGCCGGTGTTGATTGTCTGTTCTCGTTGCCTTCCCTACTTGTTTAGAACACCCAAGATCTTCCTGTACCAATACACCTAGGTCACCCTTCTGAGAAAACTTCGCCAAGGTGTGATCTCCAATATTGTAAGCGCGCACCAGCTGGTGACGCAGATGTATCACTTTGCACTTAGCTATGTTCATTTGAAGCTTGTTCCTCTTTGACCATTCGTAAATGCAATCTAAGTTATGTTGGAGCGCATCCTGATCTGGCTTGTTACTATTCGCCCGCCATATCTTGACGTCAGCGGCTAAAGGCGGGAAATTTGAGGAGATAACTGATGCCAGGTCGTTGATAAACACCAGGAATAAGCGTGGTCCCAGCTACTGTGCTGCAGGACATGGCAGAAAAAAGGAAAAAATAGTCAACAGGTGCAAGCCAGCTGAGCTACTGGTACCGGATGGGCATCGTTTCGGTAAGATAGCAGCCGGCTACTATGCAGTAAAAATTAGCATGCGAAATTATATAAGGCTAAATAGTGAGCTGGTGGTTGGAGGGGAGAGATGGGTGGGACCAAAGAAACTCACAGCACGAACGCCACTGGGGGCGGCTCCCAGCCACACCAGCAAGTGTGCCCAGCCAAACGCGTCCATAGTCTTTCGGAACCCAACCAGGGAGCCGAGATGGTCCAACCGAGGCGCGCTCTGAACTGTGGGCCTTCATTCCTCTCGAACAAGTCAGCGCTTGGCCTCGCCTCCTCTGCTTCTATCCACACTCCCGGCGCGTAAACAACGCACTTCGTGGGAGTCGGCTGGCTGACATGCGTAACACGTGACCGAGCCAACGGAGCCTGGTGCGTAAAATAACGGTGTTAAGCGGTTCCTTTCCTTTTCCTGTGCCGTAAACAAGACGTCGAACATGCGCTTTCCTAACTTGATCTTCCCACCAAATATGTGCCAAATTGCGAAGGCACCAATGATCGAAGGTAATTAGCGCCTTTAAGCTTGCTGATCTAAGGGGCCAGGTTTCACAACCGTACAGTAAGGTCGAACCTACCTCTGCATTGTACACTATATCCTTCAGGGAGAGAGTAAGGTCGCGCCGCCGCCATGAGTGGCAAAGGTTAGCAAAAGCGCCTCGAGGATTTGCCATAGGGTTGGTGATCTCATCTTCAATACCACGGGCGCTAATACAACTACCCAGGTAGCTGAAGTTTTGCACGGCTTCTAGCCGCTCCCCACCAAGGGGCAGCGCAGGAGGCGGTCCAGGTCAAGCTTGGCGGAAAAATTTGCACTTCGAGGGTGCGAAGCAAACCCCGAAGTGACGAACAGCCAGTGCTAACCTAGCCAGTGCTGTTTAGCATGTTTGCGAGCTGTCACTGATTAGGGCTATACCATCAGCATACTCTAAGTCAAGGTGTCGTTCACCTGGGAGCAGATTCACACCTTCTAAGTCGTCTCATGTAAACGCCATTTCTAGTACTTCCTCAGTAGCGAAGCAGAAGAGGAGAGGTGACAGCGGGCATGTTGTCTCACCACGCTGGAAACATTAAAAAAGTGACGACTGCTTGCCGTAAGCCCTAACACTGCTCGAGCTACGCGAGTATTATGCTCGGATAATATTTACATATATCCGAGGTACAAATTTTCTCAAACAATTTTCTTGTGTCCTTAGACATGCTAGATTATCTGGTCTTCGCTGGCATTGCATGTAGTTGGACAAACCGCAGTCCGATCAAATTAGAGCCGAGCCGCGGTTATCACGCCGATCCGTCCAGGACCAGAACACTTCCAACAAATGTTATCAGGGAGGTTACGGGTACGGGATTTGAGCGTCAACTAGATGCACTTGGGTGGTAACATGAACCCATTCCATTTTCCTGACTAACTCTATATTCATACTTCGATTCTATTTTCTGTACTTTTCCTCACCACAGGCATTGGCACTTCTTGAAAATACTTTCGCCTACTCTTTACCTCCGAGTTTTCCTCCTATCTTATTAACTTCACGTAAACGGCCTACCTTAAATAAATAAGTAAAGCGTGGACTGCTAATGAAATGAACCTAGGTATTAGATTGGTTGACCAGTGTGTTTCGGTTGTTTTATTTCTGTATCTAACAAAATGTCGGCGCACCACTAACAATTCTGAGTAACGATTCGCTCAAGAAGGAACCCTTACGGGATCCACCCACTCGTTCCAGTCCCACCTGAAACAAGACCTGAACTACAACGCGTTAGTTGCTGTCGCCGATGTTACAAGTATGACCTAGACGTTCCTTCCTTTCTGTACATGTTGTGCATCGGAGAATATTCACTCGTGGTCAAACACAAGTGGTTGTACGCTACGAACATTTTTCCCCTTTCTTTTACCGGCACTTTTAGGTAGGACGGTGGTGGGAGATAGCAATGGTCCGCTTGGATGGCCCCCCGGCCACCGCATCAGCTTTCACCATGTGGTCTTGTAGGATTGCTTGCGGAGGACAGTCCTCAAGTTGATCAAAGTGTTACCCACGGTATCCTTCGCAAAAGGGAGTACAGTGATCCGAAAATTCCCCTGTATGTCTGAGTACGATGTGTAAACTATTATAAGGATATGATTTATCTTGTACTTAGACAGCGCAGGAAGCTTGCCAGTTCGAAGGATGACTAGGTGTGTTGAGACGGGCACACGAATTGCAATTCGCGCGCTTCCGGCTTTCCGCCTCGAAGAGCTCTAACGAGGTCTGTGTTGGCGCCTAATTTTTACCCTCTAACTAGAACCTTTTTACAGTGCTTTTCGCCAGCAGGATTGTTCGTTTCGACAATAAAGCCGTACATTGCCAATATGTACTCCTCGATCCGACGTTTCCGTAAAGCGCGACAAACCTGTGTTTACAGTGACCGAACGATTCCGCTTTAGGTAATTTCTTTCAGGGGCAACTGAAGTGGCGCTACGGGTTAGAAGTACCCGAATAAACAAGACTCTGATTAACCACTAAAAGGTTTATCAAAATTTGGCCAGCAAATACTCTGTAGGACCATGCATTGTACATAATAATCTAAAAGCTTCTTACGTGTATTGTCCAACATGCACACATAAATTGCACTTTGCGAAATTTTACCAATCCATATATTTGTGCATTATGCCGAGGCATTTTATACATACCATATTAATAATGACTTAAGCCACTTCGTTTTAGTGATATAGTAATAGTACTCATCATGCGCTTTTACTACGCTTAATCGCTTGGGCTGCTTTCACTTTCTCGGCTCGTCACCTGTCTTAGGATGGTTGGTGCGAAGAAGTAAGTCTGATTTCCCTTGCCCGAATGTGCCATGGACTGCGTAATTGGAACCAGCTAACTTTTTCTTGTGGTCCGCAGAGATACTGCTGAGGATATCCTGCTTACAAAGCGTCGGAAGCCGAATAGGCTGATAGTTGATGATGCGATCAACGATGACAATTCAGTTGTTTCCTTGTCACAAGTAGGCGGAATTGCATACTTATTCGAATCTTAGACTAAAATGGATGAGCTCCAACTATTTCGCGGAGATACGGTTCTAGTCAAAGGCAAGAAGCGGCGTGACACCGTGTGCGTCGCTCTTGTTGACGACACTTGCCCAGATGACAGAATTCGCTTCAACCGCTGTGTTAGGCGCAATTTAAGAGTCCGTTTAGGGGACATTGTAACTGTCCAGGGCTTTCCCGAAGTGAATTATGGCAAGCGCATACATGTGCTACCGATCGACGACACGATTGTTGGCATCACTGGGTAAGTCCACGTCATCATTGTCGCAATCACCACAGCAACCTGTACGAGGTATACCTGAAACCATACTTTTTGGAAGCATATCGACCCGTACGCAAAGATGATATCTTTGTCGCTCGTGCTGCAATGAGAGCTGTTGAGTTCAAGATTGTTGAAACGGATCCTTCGCCTTACTGTATTGTTTCTCCGGACACCATCATACATACAGAAGGCGACCCCGTAAAACGCGAGGTAACTTTTTGATTTAATTTTCACTGGCTTTTAGGACGAAGATGATAAATTCAACGAGATCGGCTACGATGATATCGGTGGATGTCGGAAACAGCTTGCCCAGATAAAAGAGATGGTTGAGCTACCACTTCGTCACCCACAGTTGTTTAAAGCTATTGGTGTCAAACCGCCTAAGGGGATATTGCTGTATGGTCCACCAGGCACTGGAAAAACCCTTGTTGCACGCGCCGTTGCTAATGAAAGTGGCAGCTTTTTCTTCCTAATTAATGGACCTGAGATAATGTCTAAGCTCGCTGGAGAATCGGAATCAAACCTTCGGAAGGCGTTTGAGGAAGCCGAAAAAAATGCACCAGCGATCATTTTTATTGATGAGTTGGATGCCATTGCTCCCAAACGCGAGAAGACTCATGGTGAGGTGGAGCGTCGTATAGTATCTCAATTGCTGACACTCATGGACGGCCTTAAGCAGCGCAGTCATGTGATAGTGATGGCTGCGACAAACAGACCTAACAGTGTTGATCCCGCACTGCGCCGTTTCGGACGCTTCGATCGTGAAATCGAGATAGGTATCCCCGATAGTATTGGACGTCTGGAAATTCTTCGAATTCACACAAAGAATGTGAAGTTAGCGGACGATGTTGACTTGGAGCAGATCGCCAACGAGGCCCACGGGCACGTTGGCGCCGACCTGGCCTCGCTTTGCTCCGAAGCCGCGTTACAGCAAATCCGTAATAAAATGGACCTAATCGATTTAGAGGATGACACGATAGACGCGGAGGTCCTTAATTCTCTGGCAGTGACCATGGACGATTTCCGATGGGCTTTGGGCAAGAGCAATCCATCCGCACTTCGCGAGACGACGGTTGAAGTCCCGAACGTCACTTGGGACGATATTGGTGGCTTGGAAAATGTAAAACGTGAACTACAGGAGCTTGTACAGTACCCGGTTGAACACCCTGATAAGTTCCTGAAGTTTGGGATGACTCCTAGCAAAGGAGTCCTCTTCTACGGTCCCCCGGGATGCGGCAAAACACTTCTCGCAAAAGCCATCGCCAACGAATGCCAAGCGAACTTCATCAGCATCAAGGGCCCCGAGCTACTGACAATGTGGTTTGGGGAATCCGAGGCTAATGTACGGGATATTTTCGACAAAGCTCGCCAGGCTGCTCCATGCGTGCTCTTTTTTGATGAGCTGGATTCTATCGCCAAGGTTGGTTCACAACATTGTATGTGCTCGTCACTTTTGTCGTGCTAGCACTCTGCCGTATATTAAGCGCTGCAAATTTAGCACTTGTTTCCATGGTCCTACTTACTTCTAACTTCATTTTCAATTTTTAACCACTCCATCTTCGCCACCCCTAGTCGTCTTATACGGTCGGTTAAGCAAGTAGGTGTCTCTTGCGCCGTAGTTCTAACTTCGTTTCAGTATGGTTAAAGTCGTTGCGGCATTTCCATTGCGATCTTCGTGTTAGTGTGACTGCATTGTAATCCTTGTCTCCGGATCTTCTTTTCCGCTTAGCTAAACGAAATACGCTACTGCTGACTCTTGCTTTCTTTTACCCTTGTGTTGCCTACATCTTACTTGATTCCTATCGCTGTCTTCCAATTTCCTACATAACTGACGGCAGCTGCAGTGTCATTGTAGTTCCGCCTTCGGCTGTATTCCAACAGCATTAATTAGACTCATGTCACCAGCAGCTCATAATCAAACCACGCTTCCTTATTTGTCTTGCTACATTTAACTTTCGACAGACAAATTGATCAACAGGCTGCACTTACGCCCACATTGGACGCGTTAAGTAATTACGGTACGTCTAGGGTTATGACCAATGGTCATTGCGTGATTATCAAGCTAAATACACCCAGGTATTTCCATGCCCTCGGTTACCTGCATCTTGTAACACTTCAGCAGCGACTTGTCACTTTAAGGTAGACATCGTTCTTCACACCGCTACTAATTGATCGTAGTCCCTTGGCAATCATGTATGTGTTAACCGTTTGGCAATAACAATAAAAGTTTGAACGTCTATTTGTTATCCTCGCCTAATCCCCTACCGCTTGCGGTATTTGTGCTGCCGTTGCTATCTGCATTATCACTTATTCTGGTATCGTTCTAGTTGCAAGTTAAGTCGATTGCCTGAATTCCCCCGAAGCTCAGTTAGCTGGCAGGTTTGGATTCATCTACTTGAACTGCTTCCTCTTCTGAACACGTGCTTTTACTTTCATGTCGTGAACGTAGTGTTCCTACCGCATATGCTATCGTCTATCAAGAGCCGGAAGCGCACGCCTGTTTTTCACACGAATCGGCTAAGACTTATTCATACAGCGACATCGCGCGAATGCGCACGTTTAGTCTACCTCAGTTTCCGGGTTGAGCCAACGCGATCCATTTTGTAATTGTCTCTAGCATTCGGCGCTGGTGATGTGTTTGCTGCAATCTCTGTCAAATTCTCTCAGTACATTGTCCGATAGCGAGTTATCTTCTGGTTGAAGCTGATTACGTTGCTAGACACTGAAATCTTCGGCGAAGCAGTGTCGCCGATCTTGGTTTATCTTTCACCAATAGCTTGGGCTTAGGCCCCCTTGTCCTGCTATTTGCTTAGGGTAATTAGGTTTTACACTAAGCCCCCCATTCCCCCCTTCATTATTCCCATTGTTAAGATTGTATGGTTCAAAAGTGGCTCGCGTTCGGAATACGGCAGCCATAGAGGAATAAATTTGATCCCTATCGCCTCTTAATCACTTGCCTCTGTACTCCTTCACAGACTGACTGGCGCTCGTGAAAGCCAGATTGGTAAGGAGCAAGCCGGACTTCGTCGAGGTCAAGGCCGCATCGACTACATATTCACCTTGTGTCAGCTGTCGGAGCATCGTCACATATATTGGCGGTCCACCGTTGTCATGTTCCTCGACATCAAACGTGCCTTCCATTCGGTTGATCGATATGCCCTTTGGGACTGTCTACTCAGGAGAGGTGTGTCCGAGAATATGCTAACATTATCCGATCGTTATACGCGCGTAGCTCTTGCAGATGGATTGCTTACGACTTGCTGTCGCTGCCCTTCAATATCAGCAGCGGTGTGAGACAGATGCCCGTTGTCACGTATCCACTTCAACTTCGCTATTGACGAAGTTATGGAGATCGCGTTCACAGGACACGACTTCTTGACTTAGAGTATGCTAACGATATTGCCCTCATCTGTGACAGCTCACAAACGTGCCATGCGGCTCTGGACAGATTAGCACTGGTTGTCAACCGTTTCGGGCTATGCTTTGCACTCTCAAAGTGCAAAGCTTCTTCAAGATTAGCAGGGACCGCCTCCTGCGCTGACCCCTTGTGCTTATCAGCTGGAAGTCGTTTAAAAGTTCGACTACCTAGTTAGTTGCATCAGCACCGTTGAATTGAAGGCGTGATCGGAAACCGTATAGCGAAAGCACGAGACACTCTTGCTAACCTCAGGTGCTGGCACGACATCACTGCTTGAAGTTTGGAGCGTACATTGCAACCGTACGTTCGACCCTACTGTGCGGTTGTGAAACCTGGCTCATTCGATCGACGGACATAAAGAGGATAGTTACGTTCGACCACCGGTGCAGTTTGACTCATACCTGATTGGAACATCGTGTGAGCAATGAGCGTGTTCGATGCCTTGTTTATGACGCAGGAAGAGCAAGCGAACCGCTTAGCACCGTTGTTTCATGCACCAGACTCTGATGGTCGGACCACGTGTTTCGCATGCCACCCCACTAATTCCCGCGGCGAGCGTTTGCGCGCTTTAGGTGTGGGTGGAAGAGGTATGAAAGCTCTTCCTTCGAAGTTGGCCTTGGTCGAAGGCTCGACTCGCTGGCTGGGGACCGACGCACGATGAATACGTTTGGCTGGATACACTTGTTGAGAAATAAAGAACCGATCTATTACCGGCACGCCTACGAAGGCATGATTATGATAACACAAACAGGTGTGATCGGTAGTTGTATAAAAATATAGCAAGTTAAGCGCTAACATACTGGATTTGTATGTATGTATATCTCTAAGTGTGTTAGTGAGCATAGTGAGTGCACTTTCGAAGTGTAACTGAATTCGTGAGTTTGTTTGCTGTGTTCGCCATCGTTTGAAGGGATCAAAGGAAATCTTCGAATTAGATGAGGTTCGTGAAGTGGGGATCCTCCGAAAGGGGAAGAGACGGTGACTTCATTTAGTGGCAAGTCACATCGCAGTGTTCTTAAACAGACCTTGGTAGCTTTTTATAGACGGCTAGGAACCGACTTCAGTGGCGTTTATGTTGAGTTTCTTTGTCCTTCTCCCCGTTTAGCTGCCCCACTAACCACGATCATAATTATTAAGCATAATACAACTTGCGGCACGATAGTCGGCTGTTAGTTCTCCATAACAGTGTCCATCCGTTACTGGTGTCTCATCTACCGTGCCTCGGTTGCAGGTTGTTCTTTCTTTCTCACATATTGCGTCACAATTGCTGAGGCGTTTTCCACCTCTAGCTAACGTGTACAACGACGACACGATTGTATGGCATGGAAGCGCCAGTTCAAGTTTCTTAGACTGTTAATGAGTATCAGCGGTATGCTATTTCTCGCTAGACCTCTACAGTTTGCTGTCATTATGCACTGGCTCAGAGCGCTGTTGTACTTCATCACTATTAATACCATCGAAATCGACACTAGTTCTACTTTCCTTTATCCAGTCCCGAGGAGGAAGTGTTGGGGACGCCGGTGGTGCTGCTGACAGGGTCATCAATCAGCTTCTCACAGAGATGGATGGAATGTCGTCCAAAAAGAACGTGTTCATTATCGGGGCTACCAACAGACCAGATATTCTGGATGGCGCCATTCTGCGGCCTGGTCGGCTTGATCAACTTATTTATATTCCCCTGCCCGATGAAAAGTCCCGCGTCAACATTTTGAGGGCCAATCTACGGAAGTCACCTGTCGCTGCTGTGAGTCTTTTCATTTGTTCCTTCTCGTTTTTTTGGATTAGGTTCCCCTGTGTCGTAATTTTTTGAAATGAAGTAAATACTTTTGCCGTGGTTTTTGCACCGCCTTTATCGATCAGCGAGCATTGGATATCTTAAGTAACGAATGGATATGTAGTATATTCTCGATAACGCGAAGCACGCTTCAATAGTCATGATCACAGTAGTACTAGCACGAAGTTACCAGCAGCGTACTGGATCTAAGTGATGTGTATATGTATGTGTGTCGGTGTGATTTGCTCAGTTCTCTTATTCTGCCGAACATTTGCTTGAGTAGAGTAGACATTATTGAGCCTCGAAAAAATCAAACAAAATACAGACTCTTCGATGCTTTTATTTTTCAGTGTAATCACTCTCAACCGCAGCACTTACTGTAGTGGTGCTGAAACGTCTATCCCAGTAGAGAACTTCAGGTTGCGATTCTACGGCCTCTATGACCTCACTGTTGTTGAGAAGCAAACCGAGTTTCGTTGCAATCTGGACTATATTGACCACCATTATTGTGCGTAAGTTGTTGGAGCAACGCCATATTTACTGGCTACTCACCTTAGTCGTGTTCCTAGTCACCAAAGGTGCTTACGCATCGGTGGATCAATGTGTCATTTGGGACTGTCTGCCTAGAAAAGGTGTGCCCAAAATATACGTAAACATTGGAGCTTAGTATGTGCATAGTTCGGGCAGGATGAAAGTTTGTGACGAATTGTCCCCGCCTTTCAATATATCCAGCGGCGGGAATCAAGATTGCACATGGTCACCTTTCCTCCTTAACTTCGCCATTGACGAACTTACGAAAACAACATTCGCTGGTCAAGGCGTGCCATTACCTGTCAATTCTTTTTGGGCTATGCCTTGTTCCCTCGAAACGCAAACTTCTACTCTAGGATTCACAAGGACCCCACCCCTGCACTGACCCGTGATCAGCTGGAAGTCGTTCCGGAATTCAAGTATCTAGGCAACTGTATTAGTACCCATGGGATCGGTGATTAGATCAGGAACCGTGTGGCAAGAGCTTGAGACACTTTTGTCCATATCCGCCACCTGTGGCGTGGACGCGATATCATTCTCGCCACTGGTGTCTACTGCGAGCCATGTCCTGCAAAGTCTCGAGCCAAGCACAAGGCGAGTCACGTGGACTCCAGTCCGGAAGGCGAGACGGACCAACGGCACCCAGTTTGGTTGTCAGTGACTTCATTTGCCGCTACCAAGTCAACTTGTCCACCTCGAGCCTTGCGCCACCCTACACCTGGTAGACTAAACAAAGCCCTCCTCGGTAAGTGGTGACCAGGCATGCGTAGCACGTGCCCGAGCCAACGCAATTTATTCAGTGCTATCTGTTGTTCTAGGGTGCTAGCATGATTATCATTACCTAGTACTCGCCTACGCACATCATTGTTGCGGAAACGCTGGTGCCACCCGACACCGGCAATGCTTCGCAAACAACGATGATCAAAGACTTGAAGGCGCCTCAGATCTTCAGACCGAAGGGGCCAAGTCTCACTATCATACAGCAGAACGACCCTCACTGTGGCCTTGTATACACGGCCTTTCAGACGAAGGGAAACTCCCTTCTGTCGCCAAAGATGCCGTAGGTTCAAGAAGGCAGCTCTGGCCTTTGCAATGCGTGATCTCACGTCAGTTTCTATGCGCCCATCATTGCTGACGCTGCTGCCAAGATAAGTGAAATGATCAACGAAGGCAAGAATGAGAGAATGTAATCCATTTTTGCAGAGGGCGCGATACTACCCGGTTGCCCAAGCTACAGTCGGGAGTTGACTTAGTGGATACCACTCTGAACCTGACTCAACAGCCTACTACTAAGGCAGCGGGACGAATCCAGGGAATCGCGCCCATTGCGAGCCGCTGACCGTTCTCTCGATTCACACGTCTTTTTGATTAGTTTCCAGACTAAGTCCTAACCTTCCACAAATATAGCCTTTGGCTGCTAGAATACAATGCTCCACCGGGGGAAGCCAGGTGCAGTGACTTTTTATAGTGACAAGTCGCAGTGTTGTTAAACAGATATATTGTTTTATTTTTGGAGAACTTTTTCCAGACGAAAGCCCACTACGTCCTGGACCACTGCCACGGAAACATTTATTAAAACGAAACAAACATTAACCATCCAGCAAGCACCACTCATAGTTTGTTCGGTAGGCCAACCCCAGACGTCTGTCGCAACAGTTATGGAAATTCCGATCACCAGTCTTGGTGGTGGCTGGTTGCTCTCTGACGCATTCCTGGTTGGCGCGAACACAACAAGACTAGCAAAGACCTCAGGGCAAAACGGTGTGCTAGTCTGAAGAAAGACCGCCAAATTTAATGCTCTCATCTAACATAAAAGATGGAGATGGCCGCTGCCCTTGGTAGCCACTAGAAGATACTCCGTCTCACTGGAAACGGACAGCAGGAGACCTTTTGTCATCGAAACCGTGTACGACAAAAATGGGCAGCCTATCCGGAACTTGTCGAACGCTTAGAGCCTTGGATTAAAAACTGTATACTACCAGATTCGCTTTTTGCCAGTGATCGCCCTTCTCCCTGAGCCGTTTTTTTGGATCCGCTCTCCTGCAGAAGCCGAACGTCAGATCAGATCAGGTCAATTTTCAACGGTGTCCCACTTTTGAAACGTGACAGTTATACTAGTACCAGACTGATCTCTATTGCCTCTATGCTATTTGCCCCTATCACCCCTCATAGATTAAATGGAGAACAGGCTGGATCTCATCGAAATCTTGGCTTCATTGCTTACTTCGTTTTACTCCAGTTATTAGAACACCGGTACTTATATTAGCGACCTACCGTACTCGTGTTGTTCGATGTCAAAGTTAGCTTTGATTCAATGGATCGATGTGCCCTCTGGGACTGTTCTCTTAGGAAATATGTGATCACCGGAGTGCTGTACGCATCTAGCTTGGGCAAAGTGAGGGTTTAGGGCCAACAATCGCCGTCCTTCAATATATTCATCGGTTTGAGACAAATGTTCACCGCAACCTTTTTTACCTTCGATATTGAAGGTATTGAAGCTGTGTTCATCGGACACGACTTGGAAGGTGTGGGGCTGCTTCCAGGTGACCGACTTCTTGACTTGCATTCTGTTAACGATGCTACCCTTATCTGTAACAACTCGCAGATGTTGCTAAGCAGCACTGAACATGCTAGCACCGACTACCAACTGTTCCGCTTTGCGCCATTAGCGGGATCTACCCCCTGCACTGCTACATAGTAATGATTAGCTAAAGTTCACAAATTTAACCACGACGATATCGGTGCTGTGGAGTAGAAGATGAAGTGGCAAACCGCATGCAGCCAAGGCTCGAGGCTGTCTCGATCAACATCGCCACTTGTGGTGCCCGTGCGACATCACTCGCATTAAAGGATAGAATCTGCACTGCAGCCTTCCGTTTGAACCCTGATGTATGGCCTGAAACCTGGCTCATCAGCTTGATAGATGCGAAGGGGTTAGTTTTGTGCGACCACCGGTACCCTTGCGTGTTCGGCGTTCGGTTTGTGCAAGAAATTGGCCGCTCAGCACGGTTATTTCGCGCATCAGTGGTGTTTGTGCTGTGAGTTCTTTTGTCCCTCTCCCGCTTAACCTTCCCTCCAGCCACAATTCTCTTTCTTAACCTATTACAAGTTTTGCATGATACTGGCCGGTACCTTTGGAACGATGCCCATGCATTACCGATGTCTCAGCTGGCATGCGTCCTTTGCAGATTTTTTACGTATTGCGGCACAATAACGGGTTTTCCACATTCTAAATAATGTGTGGAATGATGATGATGCATCAGGCTCCGACGGCTGAGTCATGTGTTGCACATGACAGAACACTGATCTCCGCGTGTGCCTTGCGCAACTCGCGTCTGGGTAGGAGAAGAACAATGAGGGCCGGTCGTTGATTTGATTAGGAAGCATGAAAGCTCTCTTTGACATTGGCCTTAGCTAGTGCGTCCCGACTCTGGGATTGGGGTCTCAAAGAAAATAAACACATGCTTGGCTACGCTTGTATTCATGGCGAGGAGTCGACCCCAGTGACTTTTGGGTTGTGTTTCGTTGTCTCTCCTTCTTAGTCGCCCCCTCATCGACGCTCCCACAACGATGTATAACAAGTAAACAGGGGCAATGTTTATTTCCGTCCTTTTGTTACTTTGATGACTATTGTATCGCAGGACGTTGGCTGATGCATTTATAACCAATAAATATGTTTCACACCAATGCAGGGCGCGGACCGATTACGCGACCCGATCATTCCGTATAACATGATCAGATAGCGGAGAAAGTTCTAGATAATTCCCAGAGGGACTTTCGGGATGTTCTATCAGTTAAAAGTAACCGTGTGGGAATAAATGCGTGTACAAACATCAATTCGGTTACTACGACCATCCTTGAGACCTGCTTCCATTCGGGATAGTCCCTCGAAGAATTTCATTCGCACTTCCACGCCTCGTCTGACTATGTGCTGATATGATTCTAAAGCAAGTAAACCGTCATAATCTCGACTCTTTTATGGCCGCTATTATAAGCTAGTAGTCCATCATAACGTGGAATCATTTTAGAGCCGCTGTTACGTGGCGTGCATTCCGGCTATACAGCCACTCTGCCTTTCAGCTATTTTGAGTTCTGCACTTTTAGTATTTGCTAGTGAATCTGTGGCAGTTCTTGCACGTTTTCTCAGTCAATTGTACCCATAAATTCCTCCGTAAGCACATCATCTCCCTTAAGTCTCCCAAGATGGTCCCTGGCGTTATTTCATTGCATCCAACGAGCGCAAACATTTTCAAAAATGTTTACTACTCGTTGAGTAACCAAACAAATCAGCCGCTAGTAGCACAGATAGGTACGCGGTGTAGGATGCCGCTGGGTAAATTTAGTTGTTTTCGGCCTACTTGGTAGCATTAATGACCTTGAGAGATCTATGAAGGAACATGATTTCCCTAAGGAGAGATATAAAAGGGTTACAAATCCAA